CAGAGACACATCATTTCCCCAAGACACATCCTGTCTCAGAGGGCTATGGTGTCTGCTGCTCCAGGCTTCTGTCCCCCTTCTCAGTAGCCAGCATATGGGTGGAGATTTCCTTCCTAGTTTTTTTCTCCTGAAAAGCTCCATTTCAAGCTCCAGCATGAGAAATGGATTGAATCTTGACCTCTTGCATATACTTTGTCTCTCCATGCCAAAGGTTGTCTCATGAGAACCAGAGCCACTGACATGTTTCTTCATCATATAACTCTGATAGGTATGTCTTCTATTGCTACTACTCTTTGAGTAGTAACACCGCCACCTTTAAACCAACGTGTGCATCTGAATACTTTAATGTAGTCTGTTCCATTCACAGCAATGCAAACAATGCTTCGGTCTGGTAATTTTCATACTCTGCAAAGGGAAATTAGGAATCTTTTATAAAATGAAACTATTCACTTCTAATGTTTCCTCCTGAAATGCAGAACTTTATACGTACCTTCAGTGGAGTTTGATCCTTCTATACAGAAGAGTGGCAGGGACAGTAACAGAAAGCCTCATGGAGGACACAATTCCATGCAGGAACAGGACAAAAATGTGATGGAGCTGCAATGAATTTAGAAAGTGCTTTTGCTACAGTAAGAAGTAATGATTGGCTTACAGAAGGATTAGAAGAAAAACCTGTGCCAAAGAGGCAGACTAGGAGAATGATGCCCATTGCAAGGGAAGATGATGGAACAGGTCAAGGCTGCTAATCCTGTCTAATGACTAGATTTTACTGAGTTTTGTGTTGGGACATCAGCTTAGGTGAGGCCTACTTGTTACAATGCGCTGTTTTAACACGGTAAGAGGAAGTTCTTTCTTTGAAGCCCCTTGCTGTTGATGGTAGAAATCAGCTTGGGACAGACAGTACAGTCTAATGAAAAGTACACGTCAGGCAAGAGAGCTAAGGCTTCTTTAGAGTGATGTTTTACCAAGTGACAATGGGAATGCTTTGAAAGGGGATGAGTTATCAGGCAAATTAAGAAAGAGGCAGGGAGCACTAGTGGTGTAATTATTGCCTAGGTGTCTACTGCTGTAAAAGTATTCTCAATACTACACCATTAGGTGGCAAAAAACAGGCATTTTATTTCAACAGTTGCACATACAATGGCACTACATCATAGAGAAAAAGGAAATGGATGTGTAATTCTCTTCTGATCAACTCTGTCTTTAACTCCATGATCTCTGTGGGTGGTGTCTACAATTCAACCATGACAGGCTCTAGGAAATTTAGTAAATGACGAGTAGAAAGAAATACAATCCAGATAATTTAAAATATCTTTATTAAAAAAAAAAAAGTCAGGAAAATAGCTTTAACCTCTTAATTTACTCACAAAAGCTTAATAATAGGGGCTGAACTGTCTTGCTCTCTTGAGATCACCACAAAAGCTGGGGAAGAATGTGGTATCACACCAGCCAGCTCTCATTACTGCTGAAAGAATGGTGTGATTAAACCTCTATAAAGAAAAAAATGGAATGTAACTTTTAAATGTCGATTTGCTTTGAGCACATACCACATGCTGAGGAAGGAGTTTCCAGTGTGCTCCTCTGTTCTAAAGATGGAGAGGACCTCACCTCCAAAAACAAATTAACTAAACTGTCCTCTTCTGAAAATGAATACTATTTGGCTAAAAACTTTTGTTCACATTTCCCAGTGTCAAAACCCACAAAATCCTTTGAGAAATGTCTCTGAATGCAAAGTTTTCTTTCTCTTCCCATTGGGAAATTCAAGCAATCAAAGCCCTTTTTTATGCAGCCATACAACAAAGGAAGTTCTTGTATTTACAAATTCTTCTTCAAAAGTTTCACTAATATGATACCAACTATTGAATTATTTTGTCCTTATGGACTCCTCTACAACCCTGTCAGTGTCCTAAAGGTGGCTGAGCTTACCCCTTCTCTATATATTTCCTCCAACCCTTGAGACTCTGCCTCAGCTGCAAACTTCTGGCTGAAGACAACTGGATGGGACTCCCTCCTGAGTCCAGCAGCAAGGCTGTCATCCAAAAGTGAGCTGCGGGGTGATGCAAGGCACTCCCTTCCCTCCGGATCTGAGCTAGCTACCTCATCTTGAAAGGATTTGTTGCTTAATGATATCAGCCTAGAGTGAAACATGGATCACTTGTCAGCAGTTAATGATGATATTTGCTTGCTTATCTCACAAGATCAGCACTAAAGCATGAAACCTCTTCTCACCCTTGAAGTGGAACTGCATAAAAACATTTACTGTAAACTGTTGGCTTCCAAACCTCAAGCACAATCCACGAGCTATCTGTTCCATTAATCTGAGAATATTTTGAGAATTTGGGGGATAGCACTGGCACCAGAAACTCTGGATCGTAACATCTGTGTGGAATTCTTCTGTTGGCAAAATAGTACTTTCAATCATCAGGCACTGTCAGTATCTTTAGTGTCTTGCATTCGCTGCAGTTCTTGGCGCTTTGCAAGGCATCCTGACCTCTGCTCACTGCAGATCTTGCACAGATCCCTCATGGAGGAGCTTTTCTTAAATTCTGCTTGGCAGTTCTACTCTGTGAAGGAGAGCAATAAATAAAATTCCCGATTTCCTTACAGAACTGGGAGATACGATGGGACAGAAACATCTGTAGGACATCCAAGGTGCAGTCATCATAATGCTTATACAAAGCCAAAAAGGCAGAAGCGAGCAGTTTGCAGCTGGTGCATTTGTCTATCCAAGTGCAACCTGATCTAGGTCATTTCTACCTATGTTAGTCAAGGGAGGACATAGTCCTCACCTAAATGGGACACGTACCATGCCTGCAGGTGATAACGAGAGCTAAAGCCTCTCTTCTTTCACTCTGTTAAATACATTCCTACCATATAGGACTTTCTTACATGTCACAGATGCATTCTGGATGTATTAGTAAGCCATATAGGTTATTTAAAAAACAGTAAATAAAATCAAATATTGCACCTATTAAAAATAAAATGTGCAGCAGCAGCAACAATCCTGCAGACAGTGCATTTTATGCAGTGACCCAAATGTGCAAACTGTCAGTGAATGCTCTAACACTTGCAATCTATTGCAGTATTTCCACTGAAAGGTGAGCAGCCTGTCCAAAAATCTCAGCAGACCTTAAAGCTGCAAAGCAGCATGAAACTACTTACACTTCATGATCTTAGGAGAATCTTGTAATGAAGGCATGAAAATGTTCATATACCTACTGAGCAATGAGTTACCATATTTAATCCCAATAGGTTTTGTTTTAAATACTAGCAATGCAATTAATGTCTGACACACTTGTTACCCATTAGAAAACAGATTGTGTAGCAAGAGCACTATGTTTAACATAACATTAAATACTAAATTGTATCAGATTTATTGAACACTGGGTCCAGAGTGCACTGCAGGGCCCCAGAAACAAAGCACCATCATGTCAGGAAAAATCTAAAGTAACTTAGAGATCTGTTATGTATGTGAGAAGTAGCTTCATATTTTGATTTTCTCTTCAGTTCAGCAGTGGCTTGAATGTTGCAATATTTGCACAGCATCAGCCATTTGCTTTATGTAGTTTGTTTTAGAAAAGGCTAATGACTTTCCTATGTGAATTTGAAACTTTAATAGTATGACCTTCACTTATGAAGGCTGATTTTTCTTCCTTTTTTTTTTTTTTAATGCAGGAATCAGGACACATGGAATGCCTTTGAGGTACGTGTGAATTTATGTAACCATTATAAAGTAACTTTTTAACTGTTTTGGTGCTATCTATAAGACATAAAATCAGCAGGTGTATAGTGTCTTTGTTTTGTAGTAAATGAAATTTAGACTTGTTTCAAATTCTCTTTGCTTGAAATAGTGACTAAGCCATGGATCAGCATTTTTTTTTCTTGTGCTCTGTCTATCCTGTAAGGAAAGGGTCATTTCTAACCCTTGGTGGTTTTGTGTTAAACAGGGAATTGCACAGGCAGTGTAGTCCTGTGCGAGGATGGGATCCCAGGTCTTGATCCCACCGCTCACCTGCTCCCAGGTGAAGTGACATTTGGAACAGCAGTGCCACCACAGCAGGAAGCACTGAAAATTTCCACCTGGAAGAAGAGACACTTTGGGAGGAAGGAGATGTGAGTGCACACGAACCCGCAGTGGGGAGAGGTCTCATTTTAAGGGAGGAAAGCTTGAAGAGCCACATCCCACTTCCAAGGCCTTCAGTGGGGAAAACATCAGTTCCTTGCCCGAGATATAATTTAATGAGGCCCAAGCTCTGAGCTCTGCCAGTATGGGAACTCTAGACACACTTATCACTCCGTTCTGTGTGTAACTTCAGACAGTCAACCTCCTGGGCTGTGCTGAAGCTACATCATAAACTCTGTGAAGCACAGGTCATCTTTTCATCACTTATTTGGATCCTAATCCACTGGCCAGATCCTGATCTATGACTACCCATATGATAACACTTTACAGGTTGCCTCAACAGGAAGAAGCCAGTGACATGACCAAATGAGTACAGAATATTAGTAAGGTTGTTAGTAAGCATAGGTGTGCAGTTTATTAGCTCGATCATCCAAAGTCAACTTTACTGTGGCAACCTTCATAGCTTTTGTGGGAGCTTCTCCCACCCTCTAGAAGCCCCTTTGACCCTGCAGAAAGCTGCCCTGACTCATGGAGCTCCCCTCATGGGAAAACTCTGGAAAGGGTCACCTTTTCTTTGGGATGGCTGTTAAATTAGGCCACACAGCATCGAGGCAAGGCTTTTATTATTTTATTCTTTCAAATTTTGACAATGGCAGCCCACAGAACTGGGCCGATGTTTTCCATAAACTGCAGATAAGGAGTGAATTGGTCCAAAGTTTAAGAGTTTCTATGACCCCGTCTGTCACACCCTTCCCATGCAAAATACTGCCCCGGATCAGCAGCACTCCTCCGTGTGACTACACACATCTGAGCCTGCCTTCACGTTCTCACCCGCGCAGTCTTGGGTTCGTTCCCATTTGTACCTTTAATTCTCCTGCCCCACAATTTCACTGTCACCTTCCCCCGCGTCCCTCCCCTCACCCCGGCGCTCCCGGCCCCAGCTCTCCCGAGGAGGACCCCAAGCATCGGCGCCACCTGATGCGGTTCCCCCTCAGCATCCCCGGGCGGACCCCGAGGTGGGGCGGGCCCCCCCGAGGGCAGGCCGGGCCGGGGGAAGGGGAGGGGAGGCGCGGCGGCCGTCTGTCTGTCTGTCTGTCCGCCCGCCGTGTGGCTCCGTCCCCGGCTTTGTTGTGCTCGCCGCCCGGGCTCCGGGCGAGGGGGCGGGGAAGCGGAGGGAAGGGAAGCGGGGAAGGCGGCCGTGTCTCCTCCTCCGCGGACCCGGCCCCGCTCATGGCGACGCTGGGCACATCCGGGCTTCTCCTCCTCCTCCGGCGGCAGCCGCTGCCCTGAGCGCCCGGCCCGACTCCATTAGCGCCTCCCCTCCCCCTCGTCTCCCTTCCCGGACCCAGAGGCAGGGGGAGCCCCGGGCAAGGCAGCGCCGAGCCCGCGGAGCGGCCGGGGACATGTCCAACCAAGGGGCCCGGCGGAACGGGCCCGTCAAGCTGCGACTGACAGGTGAGGCTGAGCGGGTAGGCTCCGACGGGGCCTGCCGCCGCCCGCCCGCCGCCGGCGGGGCTGCTCGGGAGCCGGCCGGGCAGGGAGGAGGAAGGGAGGGAAGGGACGGCGGAAGCGAGGAGCGCCGGGGTCTTGGGGGGCGCGGGAGCGGGGAGAGCGGAGCCCGGCCGGAGGGGTGGGCGCGGGCTCCCTCCATGTGTCTTTGAGGTTGAACCTGGGGCTGGGGGAGTCCCTGTGGCCTCGGGAGGAGCGCGGGGTCAAGGAGAGAAGGGAGACGGAGAGCTCTTCCTTCTCGCTCCTTGCCCCGCCGCGGGCTCCGCGCCTCCGAACAACGCGGCGCTGCGGGGCGGTGGTGCCGGCCGGGCCGGGCCCCGCAGCCGCTGGAGTCCCGGGGCTGGGGCCGGTGTGAGTCTCAGGCACTGGGCAGCTTCCCTTGCCCCGCCGCATCCCAACTCGAAATAAACTGTCACCCTCTTTGTTTTGATCTCTTTGTTTGGGCTTTTTCTTTTCTCTTTGAAACCAACTTCCTCAGTTGGGTTTGTGCACGGTTGGTTTGATAAAGTGCCTTGTGCTGCCTTCTTTCAGAAGACCACTTGACCTCTAATATTTTAAAATATCGTAAAAATTGTTCACCTGCATGCTGGGAAGGAAAATAAGTTGCTTTTAAATACTTAAAAGTATGTTCTTTTCCGTATAAGAGCCAGGTAAATAGAGAAAAAAACCTTGCAAGTTCTGCTAGAGCTTTCTTAACAAAATACGGGAGACACTAAAGAAAAAGGGTTCAAAGTGGTATAAGCCCTTCCACAGATAAACGGTATTTTGTATCAGTGCATGCAGGTAAGAGATTAGAAAATAATAAATAGATAACACTGTAAATACTCTTCTCTGCATGCGGTGTGTTTAACCAGGTTGCAAAACAAATGGTTTTAAAAATACGGAAAGAGTTGATACGTTTACTGTAAGTGCATGATGGCTAGTAAAGAGAGGTGTTTTCATATTTCTTTTTCAAAGTGTGTTATTTTTACAAGGAAAGTGAAATGTGTCTACTTATGTTTTACTTTGGAAATAGACTACATTTGTAATCTAGTTTTCATGGAGCTTTGTGTCTGTATATTACACTTAGAAATAAAACTCTCTAAGTGTAGCTTGGAACAGTGCTGCCTTGTTTTTACACAGTGTTTTGTAGCTTTCTTTTCAGGTTATCGTTTTATGGATGCAGTACTTTAATACTTCTTTTCCTGAGCAGTGAGTGCTCAGACATGCTTATCTCCGAAACGGTCTCTAGCCCTGTGTAAAAACATGGAAAGTGCTGTTTAGGGAGTTGTCTTTCTCACCTTTGGATTTTGTGTTCTATTTTGTTCCATATTTATTTTACTTTTAATGAGGATTAAGCACATAAAGAAACTGTCTGACAATATAAATATGCTAAGGGGAGTGTTACTGTGAGCAAGAAGTAGGCAGTAGTTTTACATACTAAGTTTTAGCTGTGCGATCTAAACACCAAAAGAAGCAGGTACAATCTTGATGAATGTTTCTAAGTTTTTCTGTCACCTTATATTTTAGGAAGGGAGCATGCAGAGCACAGGACACAGGCAAAGTTGTCTTTCTAGGGACCCTTCCAGGATTAGCAGTGCTTGCTAAGTACCTGCTGGTTCTGGTACTTGGAAGTTGATGTGAAACAACGTCCTATTTCTCGAGTTAAAAATGCTTGAGGTATTTTATGCTTTAGCTAATTGTGAGTTGTTTCATTAAGATCATTTGTTGTAAGGAATCTTTGTATGTTAAAGAGAAACGTTGAATTTTGCTCATTCAGCTGATATATTGTTAGTTCTTGCCTAGGAATAGTTTTAAGTGTTCTACGTGGTTTTGATTACCCTTTTTGATTGGAAAAGCAGTTTGAGGGCTCTTGAATTCTAGAACTGTTTGGAATTAAAAGAATCTGTATATCCAGTGTTTTTCAAAGTTTATTCTCGAACTGACAAATGCAGTTTAATCTTAATTTTCTTTGGCTGTATGAAACCAGCAGTCTTCTGTTTTGGCTTTAATATTTATAGGATTAATTCTGCAATCATTGTATAACGCTTATCTTTGCTGTTCATTATCTCTAAATTAGCTGATATAGATTAAAAATGCATATCAAGAACTGGATTCAGTTTGCAGTTTTTCAGGACGTAAACATTAAAGGTTTAGATGGAAAACATTGTTTTGACTGACTGGATAAATGACAGGGTAATGTTTGATGTGAGTCCAAGAACTGATCTGGAGCTGGTGCCCAACTTCTCAGTCCATCTTGAGGAGCCAAATAAAATATTTAACCTAGGCCTCATTTTGCAAAAAAGGTTGATTCTTTGTTGGGACCTTAAGAAAGTTCTGAGAAATGTTTGGCATACCTTTACACTAAGTGTTTAACAGTTTATTTAGGTCTGGGTTCCATAACAGAGAAAAACCACAGCGGTGGCATACTTCTAATAAGTTTTTATTTAGCTTACCGTGCATCTGTGTTATAAATTTCTTACAAAATGTTATTCTTTTGCTCCTGAGTTTAGTTGTCTGAAGTAAATATCACTTGGATCTTTAGTGATATGTATGTCAATGCATTTTTCACAATATTGAATTAGAAAACCACTGGATAATTGTTCACATGCAGAGGTTATGCCTTCTGATGATACCTCACTTCAAGTATGCTTGTCTCTGATTAATACAGGGAGTGTACTTTAAACTTGCTAAAGTCTAGAATTGCACTAGTCTTCAAAATTGATCTTAGCAGCTTGGAATAACGTTATCCAAGGAAGCTCTAACATAAGGAAAGTTCCTTCAACTCCAACATTTTTACCACTATTTCATCTAGTCGTATGCTGGGTACACCTGAGTTCTACAGAGGCTGTAAGTGCAGTCATCCCCTTCTGTTCTCACTGTGAGTTTCCTCAGTGTTTTGTTGAATTTGTGGATTTGTATGTACTATATACTGTGACAGAATGAGCTGTTCTTACACCCCCATTCTGAATTGCATTGATCTTATAGTCTTAAAAAAAAAAATTACCATTGCTTTCAGTTGCTCAGTCAATATTTTATGTCTTAATCTGTGGATTTTCTAACGTTAAGATGGTTACATTTGATGCTTTCATGTATGAGATCAGTGTCAGTTATCTGAGTGAAGTCATAAAGCTGTTTTTATCAATGAGAAAGATACTTTTTAAAATGGTTTGAAGTCTGCAAAGCTACATGAGCACTAGAATATATGGAGTTGAATACAGGTTAGCACATCAGTTTTAGTGCATGTGTTACAGTGAGTGTTTGTGTCAGAGTATTAATGAGTAAAGACACTTTGGTAGCCCCAAAGCACAGTTACACTGTACTGTGAAAGGTGGTAATAAATATAAAACTGGAATGAGCTGGAAGAGTTTTGTTGGTAAAGATTCAGAGGTAGGCCTGAGGAGTTGTTAGATCTGGTTTTCCTCCTCCTTACTGTAGGCTTTCAGGTTTACTGCAGGGTTTGCTAATCAGGGAAATGAAAGCACTGGGTCCTGTATTGCAGAAGGTGGACAGCATCTCATCTGTCCTGCCCACTCTCTTGCTGATTTTACTGTCTAGTCACTCCTTACAGTACAAAGGTGGTACTGTACTATAAGGTTAGAGTGTTGAAGGAAGACAATGCTACTCTTTCTAATCGGTTCATAGAAACTCTTGCTGTGATGCTACTGTTTCTCAAGGAAGATACATATTATGTAGAAAAAGGGAGAATGTTCTTGAGTTTTGCAAAACAATGTGGAATCTTCACACCTGGTTTTTGCAGTGGGTAAGCGTAACAGTTAAATTATTACAATTAAAACCAGTGGTTAACTGAAATCCTAATTTCTCATTAGTGCTGTTGGAAGCAGGACTGAAATGTCTGGATAGCAGAACCTCATTGCGTGAACAGCATTAATGATTGATTGATGAAGTAGCTACCTCCATTGTTAAGTAGCAAGGCTACGGTTTCATAGGCGACTTAAATCACGGTGCAATTTTAGCTCAGTTTAAAATTGGAGTGCTGTTTCTCTTTTCTGTTTGTAGTCCCTGGCTTCACTTTTCTGGGTCCTCCCTTATGCTGACTACAGCAACTGAGTAGCTGTGATGAGCTGAAAGTTAATCCTACCAAGAAAAAAACGGGGTTTTGCGTTGAAGGAGAGGGTGCACACAAGAAGCCCAAAAGAAGGCAGGACTGCCTCTTTTAGCAGCAGCCTGTAGTTAGATAGGCTTTCATCAACAATAAAACAATGGGGTTCCTTCATGCAAGGTGTATTTGACTTAATGAGACATGACCTACCAAAAATTAGTACCTAAGAAATCAGATTCAATAAATTACATAGTAGGTGGATTAAACTGGTGCAGTCATAACAAAGTCAATAGGCATGTGTCTAATCAGATTGTACAGAGATTGATGGATGCTTGGCCCTCAATATTTCCATCAAAGTATGAAGTGTTCCTATATATGTATGTTTTTTATATATACAGTATATAGTTACATACATATAAATCAGTTGTGGATTGCACAGATGCCAGAGAATGGTAATAAACAACTGAGGAGCTGTATGGAGCTTGTTTTAATGAGATCAGCTTCTGTGACAAAGTTTTATTCATCTGAGTATAAAATTAAGTGTTTGTGTTCAAGGATATGTAATGGGTTATCATGGTAAGGAAAACAAAGATCAGAAAGGATTTGGAAGAGGGAATCATAGTAGGAAGACAGTTCTATTAAATGAGCAAAAAGGCCCAACATTCATCTGTGGTTGCAGAATCAGTAAAGCATCGAGTACAGGATTTATGTGTGTAGGTAACATATGGGACATATGTAGGAGATGTCTGGGAAATCTGCTGACAGTCCTAATGTTAATGTTTAAAAAAATAAAGCTGTTGGGGGGGGGGAATAGAAGATAAATCTTGGGGGTGGAAAAATGATGATTAATTTTTAGGATTGCACTTTTTGGTTACATTTAAAGCATTTAAGCTGTTCCATAGTG